TTTCCGCCCCCCCCCCCCCCCCATTCTTCTGTCTGACTCAATGTCTGTGGAGATTCTCCAGGCCGTGGTTGTCCCAAAGGTGCTTTTTCCAAAAGGCAACTGGATTTTCTTGTTTTTTTTTCTTTGAAAACATTTCGCTTCTCACCCAAGAAGCTCCTTCAGTTCTAACAGAATAACAGAGCTGGAACGGACCTTGGTGGTCTTCTAGTCTAACCCCCTGCTCAAGCAGGAGACCTTATACCAGTTCAGACAAGTGGCTGTCCAGTCTCTTCTTGAAAACCTCCAGTGATGGAGCACCCACAACTTCTGGAGACAAGCTGTTCCACTGGTTAATTCTCCTTCCTGTTAGGAAATTTCTCCTTAGTTCTAGGTTGCTTCTCTCCTTGATGAGTTTCCATCCGTTGCTTCTTGTCCCGCCTTCTCATGCTTTGGGGAATAGCTTGACTCCCTCTTCTTTGGGGCAGCCCCTCAGATATTGGAACACTGTTATCATGTCCCCCCCCCCCAGGGTCCTTCTTTTTGTTAAACTAGCCCAGGGGTAGGCAACCTTGGCTCTTTTATGACTCGTGGACTTCAACTCCCAGAATTCCTGAGCCAGCCATGCTGAGGGGAAAGGGAGAGGTTTCCAAGCTGAGCCATGCTGGCTCAGGAATTCTGGGAGTTGAAGTCCACGAGTCATGAGGGGGCCATAGTTCCCTCATGCTGGCTCAGGAATTCTGGGAGTTGAAGTCCACAAGTCATGAGGGGGCCAAAGTTTCCTTCATGCTGGCTCAGGAATTCTGGGAGTTGAAGTCCACGAGTCATAAAAGAGCCAAGGTTGCCTACCCCTGAACTAGACATTCCCAATTCCTGCAACCGTTCTAGATTCTGCCTGGCTCCCATTTCCACTGGGAACTCTCTGCTCCCCCTTGCAGGATTACGAAGGCCTCGACCTGGAGATGCTGGCTCCGTACATCTCGATGGACGACGATTTCCAGCTCAGCAGCACCGACCACCCGCCCTGGCTGGCCGAGAAGCGAAGAGATCCGGCGGGGGCAGGAGCCCGGCCTGTTTCCCCCCCTCCCAGGCCTCGGTCTCGAAGTTTCCACGGCGTCTCTCCGCGCCCACCAGAAGCCCCCACCCTTCCCCGCTGGGGCAGCGACAGCAGTTTGAGCCAAGGCCGTCCTGTCGAGACACCTCTGGCCAACTCGCCCTGCGGAGAAGGCCAGATGGTGGAGATGGTGGCGTCGGTCAAGATCCAGTCTGTGCAGGACGGGGCCGGTCTGAATGGCCACAGGTCCCCCTTGGGCGGGAAAAAGAGGTCAGGCAGCAACTTTCATTCGGTCAGAATTTGTAGGGCGGTTGATGAGCTCTGTTCCCGAGCAAATATAAGGCATGGCTGACTGGGGAATTCTGGGAGTTGTAGTCCACTCAATTAAAAAAATTCCCCGAGGTTAAGAAACATTGATCTAAAATAGGTGCCCTTCGTTAGCCATCTTGTTTTCAGAGAAGCTCATCTTTGGATTGTGTGGCACGCCCCCCCCCCTCATTTACCATCCCTCCCTGCAGACACCCCAGCTTGAACCCGTGTTTGGCTAAAGTTTTCTGCTCTCCCCCCAACAGGGCTCGGGAGATTAGCCTGGATGAAGAGAGGGATCTCTTCCTGGAAACCAGTCCCCCCAAGCGTGCCCATAACCACGAGGCTGAGGGATTCCTGATGCCCTCGCTTAGCCTGGTAGGTGCCCCATCCATTGGGAAGGAGAGGGCCCAGGATACACCTGGCACATCCGCTGATGCCCAAACAAAACTCCTTTGTGATAGATAACTTTCTGTTCTTCCAGGGCTTTCTGCTCAGTGTGGAAGAGTGTCTGGATGCCCGGTCCGAGCGGGGCTGCGGGGGCACTGTAGCCCTGGGCAAGAAGCTGCTGGCCCTGGAGGAACCCATGGGTGAGTGCCACGGGGGTCTGGATTTGAGAGGTTGTGTGATCAAGGTTTGGTGGGGTCAGCACAGAACCCCCGGCCTGTCCCTTTGACCTGGCGGTCCTGAAGGAACTTCTCTCATGTGTTGGGCCCCTGATGGCAGCTGCTTGTGGGATAAAAAGCATAAAGCTGATCCTTACTCTTTGGGTGGATCTCTCCCAGGTCCCGTTTGGCTCCTAAGAGTCAAGTGGGGTCCTTGGTACTCTCTCAGGTTAGTTGTTTTCTTCTAGACGTTTCATGACCCAACTGGTGACATCATCAGTGCTAGAAGAGAGGGGAGTTTGTGGAGTGGAGGAGGAGGACTGTGGGGTCCTTGGTGCTTTCTGAGCTTGGAGGTTTCCTTACAGATGTTTCATGACCCAACTAGGAAACATCATCAGTGCTAGAAGTGAGGGGCGGTTGGAGGAGGAGGAGGAGGAAGAGGAGATCTTCTTGCAGATGTGTTATTACTCAACTAAGGACCATCATCAATGCTGGGAGAGGGGCTTGAGAAAGGGAGGAGGAGAAGAAGAGAACAACTGTGGAGTCTTTGGTGCTCTGCAAGCTTGGTGGTTTTGCAGACGTTTCATGACCCTACGAGGTAACGTCATCAGTGCTGGAAGGGAGTGGGGTTTGCCCTCTTTTTTTATATACTAGTGGCTGGCTCTGACAGTGTGGGTGCGGTGACCTTTTCTTCTTGGTAGTTAAACAGAACGAACCCTACTCCCTTCTAGCATCGATCATGGGATACCAGCAAGAGGCCCAGTTGATGGTCGGCAAGGGCATCCTTGTGAATCCTGGGAAATGTAGTCTTGTCAGGCGCAAGAAACTGGATCCGCTCACAGAAGGTCCAAGTCAGCAGCTTTATTGTGTTCTACCTATATTACAAGAATCTCCCCAGATTGCTTGCTTTCCCTTGGGATCCGCTAGACAAGCGCCCATGGAACTGAGGTGGAGTCAGCCTTACGCCTCTTGCAGCTGTGCAAGGACTCAAGGCTAGTTCCCCGCTTGACGCCTCCTCCTCTTCTGGCTGGGACTTTCCCGACAGTCTCAGGACAGCTTACCACGGCCAGATTTGAGGGGGAAGCGTTAAAGGAAGGTCCCCAGCTCCTGACGACCTCTCTCTCGCCCTCCCGGCTCTCTGCCTCCAGGCCTCTTAGGAGACATGCTGCCCTTCGTGGTGGACGGACCAGCGCTCTCCCAGCTGGCCCTGTACGATGGCGAGGAGGAGGTGTCCGGGCGTGGTGGAGAGCACTTCCAGCTGGGGGAGGAACTCCTGGTGGAGCTGGACCAGGCCACCTGAAGTGGCGCCCTTGACCACCACCCCCTCCACACCTTCATCCCACACTCCTGCTCTGCAGATGGGACACCCGGAACCAAATCCAACCAAATGCCCTCGGGGAGGGGTTCCTCCCGGCCCCCTTCCCCGCCCGTCCACCCTCCACTGGCGCTCTTAGGACTCTTCCTACCTCAGTCCCGTCCCTTTCCCCGGGCAGCCTCTCCCCTCCGTAGACGGTGGGGAGGAAGGCTCTGCCACCCCATTTGGTGCTTATCCACCTGAATGTTCTTGAACAACCGGACAAGGGGCCAGGAGTGGGATCGATTCATGGAGGGGGTCTGCTCTCTTCATCCCCCAAAGGAAGAGAAAGCACCACAGAGGGATCCCCCGGACGAGAAAGAGGGGTGCAGCTACCCCTCGGGAGACTCAGAACCCTCCGGGGGGGGGGCTGTATCTTCTCCTCTGTCCTCAGCTCGCTAGGACAGACCCTTCAGCATGCGCCCAGGCTGTGAGATCAGCCATTCCTGGCACAAAGGGGTTCACCCCTTTGAGGGAGGTAAAAAAAAAGTGGGGGGACCTGCTCTGAGAACAGGATGACCATCCGCTGTTAGCCTCTCGGGGGGACGCCTCGCCGCGACTCCCCCAAAATACTCATGGTGCCTCCCATTGACCTCAAACCAAGGTCTGCCATTTGGAAAGGAGAACCAGAACTCCTTGGAGCTTCTGCTCCTGAGAGGACATTTTGGCCAGACGGATCGTTCCCCTTAAGACCACCAACGTCTGAATAATCAAGTCCCCAGAACGAAACAGTGGTGCTTGGGCCCTCTCAGGGCCTCGTTAAAGATCTCTCTATGTTTACAATCTCCATTCTGCCCACGTTCGGTGCAGAGGAATTGGATGCCATGTAGAAACAAAGCAAGCTGGAAAGGAAACTCAGATAAAAAAATAATAATAATTAAAAAAAGCATGCCAGCTTCCCTTATCGAGCAATCGCCAGGTGAGTTTGGCATGCAGCCAGCAGATCCCTGACTCAGCCAGATGTCCCGGCAGCCAAAGCACATCTGGAAAGAGCCAGATTGGGGAAGACTGGCTAGCTTGAAAATTTTGAAGCCTAGGGGGAGGGGAAAAAAACTTGAATAGGAAAGAACCAAAAAAAAACAACCCCAATATCCCCCTATGCAATATTTTGAACCTGCCAGTAATCAAAACTTTCCAGAAAAACAGGAGAAAAAAAATTGCAAAATCCTAGAAAGAGTTTGCAAAGTCCTAAATCTGAAGATAAATTTTCAGGAGCCTTAAAGTATGGCCTGAAACTTCTTTAAAAAAAGACCATTTCCACGACAAGCTTTTTGCGGTGAAGAGGAGACCGGCCGTCCTCTTTTTAAACCTCAAGAGGGACGGCCTGCCGCGAAGATCTTTGATAACAAAAAACGCTTTTCGTTTAAGCGAGTTTGAACCGGTGCTATGAAATGTTATCCGTTGTTAGAAATAACACTGTTGTCGATATTTCAATCACTTTTTTTTTTTTCTACTTTAACGAAAGGGGAATCAACATTTCCCTCACCCTCACCCCGTCATGCTTACTTGGAAGTAAGTTGCGCTAAAAGCAGGGCAACTTCCTTCGAAGTAATGATGTACCGCGGGGTTTTTCAAACTTGGTTGCTTTAAGATGGGTGGACTTCAACTCCCAGAATTCTGGGAGCTGAAGTCCACCCATCTTAAAAAGTTTGAAAGACTGGGGTGTCGGAATCACACCCAACTTTTTTAGAGCCCGATTTTATGAATGTTTTACTTAGAAGCTATTGTCATGGTGCTCCGTGGGTTTACTTTAATTTCAACTCAAGTCGATTGCAGTCTGATCGGCAGCGTGGAAAAGTAAACTCTCTTTTGGCTCGTATGGAAAATGGTTTTTCAAATGAAATCACCAAGTTCCATTATTTAGAAATCAACCCAGCTCTTTGACTTTGCATAAGTCTCCCTTCGGGCTTAAAAACGAGCTGCTTTTCCATTCTGCAAGTCCACTTCTTCTGGGCAAGCAGACATTATCAAAACGTCGATTCGCCTTCCCTCTTGTCCCCAGAAAACCCCTCCCCACCCCCAAAAAAGCTTTAATACTTATTAAAGAGGTTGCACTTACATTACATAATCTCGAAAGGTGGCCCAGGTAGGAGAATGTTGGCCAGTGTGTAAGTCCCGTTGTAACGTTATCCCAGTGAGTAAAGCTTGATTTAGACTTGCTGGCAACTGCCCGTAGGCATCGGCACGTATCTACGCCGCAAACGGGGTGGATAGGTAAGCATAGATTGCAGATGGTTGCCAAATCCCAACTCTGTGTTGTACGGAGCTGCACATGCTTCAGGCCGATGGTTTGGATATTTTCTATGTTTTATGCGCTTTGTTCTTCGAGCGCCACGTAGCCAGGACGCCAACATCCGCAGAATTATAAGTGCCCCAGCTACACCGTCATCTCCGAACGACTGGCGGGCGCGTTCCCTGACGTGCAGTGACACAGAAGCCTAAACCAAGCTTAAAATATTTGACCGAATGGCATCAAGACACTGACCGAAATTCTCCTCTCTCTGTGGCACTTAAAATCCCCGCAACCCTTGGGATGTTATATCAATAAATGCCTTTAGCAGTGGGCTGGGAGGGAGGTCCCCAATATTCCCAGTTTAGAAAAAAAATAACAAGTTTCCTTGTTTTGGTTTTATCATTTTTATATAGATACACACACACACACATATATATATATATACACACATATATAAATCCCTCAGTTGCTTAGCCCTCGGCCTTGCTACTTTAACAGCAAACTTTGACCAGCTTTTTGCATGTTAAAGGTTGGATTTTGCATCCGGTCCCAAACCAGGCTTAACCTGCACAATTCACTGCTTCCCACCCATCCCTGTGCAAATCCTTTGGATTTAAAAAAAAATAAATAAGGAAAACTGAGTGATAGGAGACAGTGTAAGCTACAACCAGTGTTTCTCATGCCTCCCTTAGGTGTGTATGTGTGTATCCCGTTGGTGCATGTGTCTGAGTAAGGTTGTCATTTAGCTGACCAGGAACCGAGGGACCCCCCCACTTTCCCGTAGCAGAAGTGGCCCGGTTTTCCCGCTAGATAACAGCTCCAGAAGGCCTATATTTCAGAAGCTCCATATTTTTAGAACTTTTAGCCAAGTTCTCTCATCCCTCTTGGTGCTTTCTTTGCCCCCCCCCACACACACACGTGGGGGGACACTCAGTAGGGGGGAGCACCCCATCCACAGGTGTTAATGGGCTCACACAGGACGGGCAAGTCCTGACCCACGGTCCACGCACGATTGCCCATGTTTTCCAGAGTGGGGGGCCTGCTCCCAGCCCGCCGGGGAATGACCGTTTTGCAAAAATTTCAGGGTCTGCCCCCTCGCGAGGTGGCAACGGGACGGGTGAGCTCTCTTTCGGAGGGTCCCCCCCTCCCCGTTCTCTTTCCCGATCAGCCGCGAAGAAAACCGCAGTCTTAAGAGGGGCCGGCCCTGCCCTGGACACCACCTTTGCCTCGGTCATTGTTCACCCGTGCCTTCACGTCGACAACTTCACCAGCTGCCACTGCAAAACTCGAGCCGACACGAATCCGGCCCCTTCCAATCGTCTCCCGGTTGAGAAGTGAACGTTGACTGTGGTCGGTGGCACAGTGGAACGGGAGAACGTGGCTAATTCCCAGACCGTCTCTGCACAAGGTAGATCCCACCTCGGTGCCACGGAGCACGCAACCCCCTTTCCCGACGTTGTCGTGGATTTGCAAGCTTTGCGGTTCGTCGGAAGGCGAGAGAAGATGGCCGACGGGGGGTTGTGAGGAGAACCTGCTCCGCTTGGACCTACCCGCTCGGACTGTTCCGAGCCAAGCTCTCACGCACACCTACGTGTACACCAAGATACAAACGCACACACCAATGCAGTACACCAAGCACGCGCAATCTCACAAATCGACGGGCCGCAACTGGCTCAGGCAGCTGTTTTTTTTGTTTTTTTTTCAAAAGCCGCACTTGACAAACACGCACAGAACAATAGAATTTCAAAGCCAGGTGAAGAACGCAGGATAAGATGTCTCTCTCTCTCTCTCTCTCTCTTTCTCTCTTCTTCTCGTTTTTGTTGAGTTTGTTAGGATTCTAATTTTAAACCCCCAGCCACAGAGCAAAGGGGCATCTTTGCCTCCACTGACCGTCCGCTGTTCCATTTTGCTTTCTTCGTATCGTGTAGCCTTCCGAATCCATTTTCTTCTTCTTTTCTTGGAGATCCTAGTGGGAAAATGATGGTTCTCTCCGATTATTGTTGACGTTGCCGTTTTGCTGTTATCATAGGAATTGTAGCTTTTTAACCGATCGTCTGCCCCAAAGCTGGACGCTGCCACCGCCTGCCTGGTTCTCCTCTGACTGTCCAGCAGACCAGCTCCTCTTGGGATAGGGAGAGCAAGAGGTTGGTGTCTCTGGGTCTCCCCCGCCTGGGCCAGCGCCCGTGTCCACAACCCTCCCCTCCTGGCCTGCAAGGGGAACGTTTCTCGCCTGCTGCGGCCGTTTGTACTTCTGGGGACGCGTCGTGTAATGTCCGCGACCTTTGGTGCTAAGCTCTCGCCCCCGAGCAACGGTGCTCTGTTCCTCCTTGAATTTTAGACCACGTTGTGGCCATGGTGCTCTCATCCCCTTTCCGAGTCGCCTGGAACGGCTGCCAGCCAACAAGAGCAGGGTGACCGACCACCCGCCCGATCCCGATGGAGCTCTGACCTCAGGCTGGCAGATGCCGCCCAAGTGCCATGGTGCTGTGATCTCTCACGTCCTCCCCCCCGCCGCCAGATGACCCAGAGGCAGTGGTGCTAAGTCCCCTTGCCCCTCTCGGCCCTTCTTCGGAGGTCTGTTTGAAAAGCAGAACCGCCACCGAAAGACCCCCTGGGCTGTTGGAGTCTGCCCTGGCCGGAGAAAAACAAAGGATGCTCTTCCAGACACCTTCAGAAGAGATGGAGATGGGGGCAGCTCAGCGTGCCCTCCAAAAAACACCCTTCTTTGGTTGTAATTGCTCGGTTGATAGCCATGTGGCTCCCTCCCTCCGCTCTGCAGCCGGTGGTGGGTGGACGATGGGTCATGGGAAGCGAGTGG